AATGGTCCCATATGAACGTCGTTTAGCATTATAAGTCTTAATTTTAAGATAGCAATTTAAATATATTTACTATCTGTATTTTACATTTAAAATTTAACTATTTAAGTTTATATTATAAGTGATATAATTTAGTTTTAAATAACATCAATAAATACTCATGTTATACATTTRTATTGTAATAAAAAACATTAATATTCCCTATCGCTCTCCACTCTTATTTCCTTTGAGTATTCTAAGTGCAAAATGACTCTCGACTCTCGAGAGTGGCCCAGTCTAGTTAAAATGTCTAGTTCCGCCTATGCTTACACCAGAGACCGGCGTGGGTGCTCACGGAGTCACGGCAACATCGACGTATCGTTTGAAATTGTGTCGGTTCCTATAGAAACTCTGTTAACTCTTCAAGCCAAAATGAGCCAAAAGGCCCACGCGCAACTAAGGCGTCAGCGGGCCCCATCACCGATAAAAACCAAAGTAATATTAACAATATAAATTAATATTACACTATATTTATAATGGTCCATATTCAAAATATTTTTGTCTTTTATACTCACCAAATCATAACATTACTTCGAGCAGAGAATTATGTGGTTTGATATTTTTCGACCGTTTGGGGACGTTTGGTAGGTGCAATATTACAGCTACGAGTTAATTAATGTTTCAAATCTTATTTTTATTTTTGTGACCAATATACGTGGTATCAGCCTCAGCCATTGATAAGTGCGGCAACGATGGTTTTTCGTTTCAACTTTCAAATATATACATACATATATATATATATATATATATATATATCATTCGAATATTATAAGGTTAATCTTAGTGGAATTGGTGGTGTTTGATTTTTTTTTTAAGCCAGTAGGGTAGTCAATAGTATCCTATAGTCAATCCAGTAGTGCCCAAATATTAACATGATTAGCATGTAGGTACTGCAATTGAATGTGGTCTCGAGGGGAGTGGCTGTAAATTAATGGTGTCACAGGGAAATTTATACATTTATAATATACACTTTAGTCTCTATAATAATAATTAATTTCCGCGAACTACAGTGGTTAATAAATTAGTATAATTGAATAAATTGAATATCTATGTGCGCAATTGAGTAGAGTGCAACAAGAATATATTTTTTAAGTAAAAAAAATAATGAAATCGGCGGATGGGTAAATTGTTTTAACTGCTATTGTGCTCTCAAAATATTTCTGTCAATAAATTTAACAACGACCTATTATATTATTGGCACTGTAAATTTTAAAAGATCAGAATACGTATAAATAGTGTTTTAGATTTTACAAACCAAACGCACATTTTAATTGATTAGAAAATCGTTATATCGTTATCATTCTCTAGTTATTAATCAATGAATTAAATTTTAATCCACCACTCATCTCAACTTTAAAATATTGCCTATAGGTATCTATAGTCTACTGTTGTAACTAGAAAAACCAATTAGCTATCTACAACTGGCTACTATATTCTTTCGAAATTAATTTTTTTTTAAAGATACCTACAATCTACATATTATATTGAAATTCTCTGAAAGATATTTTGATTAGCAATTTAAAATTAAACTGTATCCTGTCATAAGACCACTTTAAATTATGCAAAAAAAATGTCTATACACATTATTACTTTTTGAGAAAAAAGTTATTAGGTATATTTTTAAAAGAAATGTAATTTATAGCAGTTGGTATAATGGAATAAGATTTTACTGCAGGTTAGCTGTAATGCACAGAAAATCGATATAGCTAATATAATGTGCAGACATTATATTATTATGCTTTTACAGAATTTAATTTAATTTTCTGTAGAACGGCTATACCAATATAACCTATAGGTTATGAAAATATGTTTAATAATATAGTTTACATTAATATATAATATATAGAGCAGGTTCTGACAAAGTATCTTCACGTGTTAGTCCCGTAGATATAATATAAATATATATTTATAAGTTTAGCTATATGGTTAGCCCCCGTCAATCATTGTTTTTAAATTAATAAAATAAATATATATATATATATATATATATATGATTTTGTAGAATTATTATTTTATAATAATTTGTTATTTACTATGTATTATAATATAATACATATTACCTATATCTAAATCAAAAATTTTGTTTTCATGTTTATTAAAAATCTAAGATTTATAAATAATGTATTTTCAGTTGTAGTTTTAAGGTTTTACTAGGTCATATTTCAAGAGATGAATAATTAATTTCTGTCATGTTTAGGTATTTCTCTACTTATGTATAATATACTCTTGTCTATAAGCTGTATAACTATTTATATAACTTTTGAAGTTCGCAGGACATATCGTGGCGAGGTTATAAATATATATTATATAGACACATAATACAATAATACATAATATATAAAATATAACTTGGAAGGTGGGTGAAGAACGAGGACAGATGTCAGACATAGTGATAAACCCCTTATATAGTTTCACGTAAACGTAAATGCAATAGTGTATAATATTATGATATAGAAAATTAATATAGATATATAAATATAATTATTAATTATCCAAATAATTATTGTTATACAAAGCGTAATCAAACATATTTATAGTATTTGCAACACATTTATTTAATTATTTAAAAATTGCTGATGAACACATCATAATATTTCTAAAATACTTATCTACTATACACTTAGAATCAACTCCGGGAATACGATATTATATTGAAGGTATAAGGTATATTTAGAATAAAAGTATAATTTTTATTTTATATTTTACAATCTACCAGTTTTACTTAAATGTATATTATAAGACATTGGCGCCATGTCGATGTCGAGTACCTATAATATAATATAGGAATTACGTTTAAATTGGTTTCTCAATGATGCCTTGGGTAATCGGTGGGTCAAAAAATTTGTATAGGATCAATAACTCTAATGGCAGGCTGTCAGGTTTTTGAAGAGTTGTTCCT